GAATAACTAAAGCAATCACATCTCAAACTTGCCGAAATATCTGGCTAAAGCCGATCCAATCATAATCAGCCCCCTAGTATCCCCTATACCAACTCCTAGCTCAAAATTTTCCAAAAATTGCTGAAATCAATAAAACAGATTTCGGTTTTAGTCAGCACCCTCACTTCCCCCTTTGTACCAACTCTCCCAACCTCGCAGCTCAAGATTTTCCAAAAAGCGATAAAATCGATAAAGTAAATTTTTATCCATAATCAGCACCCTCACTTACCCCCTTGTACCAACTCCCAGCCCCGCAACTCAAGATTTTCCAAAAATTAAAATCGATAAAGTAAGGGAAACAGCACAGGACAGAATGCAGGGCATTTATCTTTTTAGTATGTTGTACACGCTAAACATTTGTGATAAGCTGCCATTACATATGAAGACATCCTAACTGGCAAATCGCGTACGGCGATCTAAACCGTCTAATCCTGCACTACAACTGCGATGTCCTTTACCCAATATTCACCAATGCGCAAAAAACGCCAAGGTAACGAATAGGCAGTTTTGCAACAATTTATGCGAGCAAGTGTTCACTAGTGTGGGCTTTGCGTACCGCAAGCATGAGCAATGCAGAGAAAGAAGAACAGCCATTTCAATTCAGTACGAACTCAGAACATGAGCTTGACTTTGATATCTTCTTTGCTAATTTGGTGCCAATAGCAGTGCGAACAATCTCATTGATCGAAAAAACATCAATTAAAATCCACATATGATTTTTTTACTGTCGCAAGCAGTCGGAAGAATGCGACTCTCCATACAATTCAAAGGTATACCGGTTGCAAAAAATGCATTACCGAGTTTTGCGAAAAAAAAACGCGGACGAAGTGAGCTCGATACTCAGCAGTTGGCTCTGCAACAAAGTCGAATAATCTGAATGCGGAGTACATTCGAATACGAATTCGAATAAACATTCGAATAAAACATTCGAATAAAATCTATTCGAAACCCCTTTTTTTGATTATTCGAGTTTTCGAATAATATTCGAAACCTCGTTTTTTGATTATTCGAGTTTCGAATTTTATTCGAAAATGGAGGAACTCCGAATATCGAATTTCGAATACGAATATATTCGAATGTTTTATTCAAATGATCGAATTTCTATTCGATTCGGACCCAAGTATAATGCATACTTGACTGTACTTTCTAAAGTTATCCAGACTGAGATACGGCGCCTTAATATGGGTAACCGTTGCGGTTATTTATAATCCATAAATTTCTTATGAAGAAGTCAATCGCCGAAGCACCCAATTCTGTAAGCGTAATGCTAGTGCTCTCAATAGAAACCTGTTTTTTTAAAACATCTAGCTGTTCGGTGCGCAGGAGTTCGGGAAATTCTAAATTTGGGGTTTTGAGATATACTGAATAGTGTTGAAAAAACTGACAATTTTAATTTTAAATTTTTTCCCTATCGCAAATTCTTTTTCTCCAAATTAATCTCATGGAATTCTGTACTATTGGCTTGCGGCTACAAGATAGGGCCACTTACTTATCATTCATACTAACAAATTTTGAAGGAAGTTATGAATTGTCAAAAACAGGATTTTAGAAAGAATCATTTTTTGTCTTTTAGTCTGTAATTTCTTTCCGTTTAAGATGTGAGTAGAAATACATGTGCGCTGTAGTGCGAAAAGTTTGCTGCATCCAACGGTCTTTAACGCAATCAGAAATGTGGATTTTTAGAAAGTTATAGCACGTCAAAATGAGAATTTGCAAAACGGCCATTATTTTTGCATCAACCTAATAAAAGCACACTGTTGCAGCTTTTTGTCCTGAATTCCATGTTTCCTGGTGAATTTGTCATGAGAGGAAGCGAGAAGACTACAAGATCAACGTTCGAGAATATAATTGACAGTTATTTTCGCATGGCTACTTATCGAGATATGTTTTTTCCATTAGCGCATTGCAAGGATATAGTGCCACCGATTTTTTCGCCGCAATTGCGTTCAGCTCTCTATCATTGCTATGCGAAACCAAGTATAGTGCAGAAAAACTGGATACGCGCGACTTTTTTCTGAGATTCAATGGAGCTCATTGCAAGCGTGGAGACGCGACTTCTTCGAATACATCGTATTGAAGTACAAGGTTGGCGCGACCATTAACGACTTTCCCCTTTGTGATCGCGTCAGCCGAAGGCGACAAGTACCGTAAGGTTTGGCGCGAAACCACGGGATTTGATTAGCATTTTGACCGCGTCACGCACAATTTGTTACGATCAAGCATCGTGTTGGACTGTGAGGTAAATAATTTTGCCAGCAAAAACAAAAACAACTTGTAAAAAGAACTAGTGATACCTCGGGTCTTGAAAACTATAATCTTGGTTCTCCAATGAAAAATTCTGAGAATGCGCGTAAAATTTTGGCAAGAATGGGAGGAAGAGTTAAAGGCAGTACCTCGGTAAATCCTTGATCTGGAGTTTTTTCGCTTTTTTCGCTTACCTAGGGTAATTCGGCACGCAGAATCCGAAAATCCACCTTCAGGGCGCAAAAATGGAGAAAACCAGCATTTTTCAAGACCTCTCATTTTGAATTTGGACGAGTGGAGCGGTCTCGGTCATGGTTAGAGACGCAGAGTCGTTGCGGGACCCCCACGTTTATAGAATTGCGGCATGTCTCTTCTGACGGTGAGAGGGGCAGCGCAAGCTTGTCCAGCGCGTGTAAGAATGGCTCGCGCGTACGGGTTTAGGGCAGTTTTCTAGACAGGGGCAGCTTGCCATGCGCTCGGACTTGCTCATTTCTCATGTTTTGGGTGCAAGCAACCTTCCTATCAAAATTTCGAGGTGTTCGGTTTTGCCTATCCACTGCCTTTGAAGGAAGCGGCTTGGCAAACTTTCGACCTGAAGTTTTTTTTTCGTTTATCTGGGGTATTTCGACGCGCTGATTCCGAAAATACACTTTGAAGAGCGCGAAAACGGCGAAAACTAGCATTTTCCGAGGCTCATCATTTTCAGTTTAGACGAGTGTAGCGCTTCACGTCATGGTTAGAGACGTAGAGTCGTTGCAGGAACCATCATGTCTATAGCACTGCGGTATGCCGCCTCTGACGGTAGGAGGGGAATCAAGCTCGTCCGGGTGCGTGTAAGAATGGACAGCGCGCACGCGTTTAGGGGCACTTTTCTAAGCGGGAGCAGCATGCTGTGCTCTCGAACCTGCTCTGTTTTCATGTTTGGGATGCGAGCAAGCTTCCATACCAAAAATTTAATATGTTTGGTGCCGAGCCACTGCCTTTCAATTAAAGTTTTTTCCTATAGAAATTGTGATTATGAGGACGGAAGACGAATGGCGTAGTGGTATGAGGTGCAACTATAACCAGATAACCCAGATTCGACCACGCCCCTGGGCCAACCAAACTTTCTACCCTCCGGGACCGTTAAATCAATATCAGAGTAATCTAGGTGAATAAAAGCACTGACCTGGTAATCGGCAGCTCCGCAGGTCACTGCAGTATGCCTGTATGCAGTCAGTAGCCTCTTTAACGATGAGCTATAGGCTACTGCATGACGAAGGCGCAATACCTTTGGGCGCGAACGTCGCTTTGTTGGCCGCAGAGCGCATGAGCCATAGGGTTTGCAACGGTGTAGATACGCGCGCGCCGAATTCGCACCCGCTCAACTACTACTGCTTCTGCGCCTTCTTCTGCAGTAGCCTTTGGATAAAACAAGGTTCGAATAAAATTCCATCTCCAATAATAAAAAAACGAAGAAATATTGAAACTCGAAAACTCGAATAATCAAAAAACGAGATTTCGAATAGATTTTATTCAAATGTTTATTTGATTTCGTAATCGAATGAATTCCATACTCAGATTATTCGAGTTTGTTGAGCCAACTGCTGAGTATCAAGCTCGCTTTGTCCGCGTTTTTTTTTTTCGCAAAACTCGGAAATGCATCTTTTTGCAACTGTGATTCCTTCAAACTGTATGGAAAGTCGCATTCCTCCGAATGCCTGCGACATTAAAAAAAAAGGTGTGGATTTTAATTGACGCTTTTTCGATCAATGAGATAATTCGCACTGCTTTTGGCACCAGATAATCCAAAAAAAAAACAGCTATCAAATTCAAGCTCATATTCCGAGTTCATATGTTGGAAGGGTGTTGATAGGCCCGGATTCTCTTCCTCTGCATTGCTCATGCCTTTGGTACAAAAGGTCCACATTAGTGAGCATTCTTGATTGTAAAACCCATTTTGCACACTGCCTTTATTCTTTACCTTAGAGATTTTTTCGCGAATTGGTGTATTTTGAGTAAAGGACATCGCAGCTGTAGGGAGGATTAGACGGTTGCTGAAATTTGCTTATATCACCTCGCAATAATATTTTGTTTAGTAGATAATGGGAGGTAATATATGACATTTTACTGATGTATAGATCGGTTGCCAACCGACCATTTTTTATCAATTTTTGGAAAAAGCTACGGGGCTGGGAGTGGTACAGGGGAGGGGAAGGTAAATGAGGGTGCTGATTGAAAATAAAATCTATTTTGTCGATTTTACCGATTCTTGGAAAATCTTGACTAGGAGTTGGTTTAGGAGATATGAGGGTGCTGATTATGAATGGATCGGTTTCAGCCGAATATGTCAGCAAGTTTTGGATATGGTTGCTCTAGTTAATCGATTGATCATTTTAAGATTTATTCGACATTCGACTTCCAATGTTCGAATATAATCGATAATCATTCATTCGATATTTTTGATCTTCCGATTTTATTCGGGATTCATTCATTCGAGAATTTTTTTCGATGAAAAATTTTGAGTTTACCCAAGTATAGTACGCACGCGCGATGTGAGCGCATCTGTGCACCTTTTATACTCAAGCAGTGAAAACCATGAGGTGTAGGTGGCGAAGAGTGTTGAACCAGTTGGTAGTTAATTATACGTTGTAACTCGTTCAATTCTTCCCAACGTCTCGCAGTTGATCTCTCGCAAGAGTTCAAGAACCAACTTTTTACACACTTCAGCTGCAAAAACTTAACACTGTTCTAAGGTTTTTATATTGCATAATTCTAGTTCATTCAGAATATTCACAAGGAAAATCTCAACAAAATCAACAAAGTTTGCAAAAACAACAAGATGTCTATCAAATCATCAGTCGTCGGCATTTTCAAATCCAAGCACTTCTGTCTTCGTTTCCCATTCCAAATCAACATATGTGAAGTTCCACACTTGCGGTTGTCCATAGTGATTCACGACAACTTTGGTGGTTGCCCAACTGAAAAATAGTTATATCTAATTCGTGGTTTTTATATCTTTCGAAAAATAAATTATTTGCATGATAAGATTTCTTTCTGTCTTTGATTTTGCTGCAAAAAAAAACACTTCCGACAAAATAACGACATTTGGCTTCGCCTTAGGCGCAGACCATTCTGCTTCACTTTTTCTATTGTATTTTGTCCTCGGCATACATACGAATAAAAAGTACCCAAATATAGAACTTCAAGCGCCCGCAATAGTACAAAGTAATTGAACGTACTTGAAAACTGGTAATGGGTCGTATGGAGGTCCACCCCAAGCTCGGAAACGAAGCTTTGAGAACATCTCGTAATTGGTTCCCTGGAGATATAATAGTTAAAGGTAACCGAACTCCAAATCCATCACACGTTGGGAGATTTCTATCACTGATAATCATATTTTCACCGATTAAATAGATTACAAATATTCAAAAAGATTCACTAGAAAATTGAACGTGCTGATTTCGAGCATTTTTTTGAGATAGTTACATATCTATGATGAAGTAGCAAAGTTGGATGCTCATCGATTTCACTACTGGATTGTGGCTGCGTTCAGAGTTAGTAGCGCCAGCGCTGTCCTAACGCCGCTCCATCGTCGTGCTAGGGCCGTGCCAGAACGTCGATCGATATATGCAGGGCGCATTCAAGACACCGTGCTGGCTTTGTGCATGACGCTGCAGCGATGCTAGCATACGAAATAACGAACGGACAACTCTGACACGACGTACTGACAGCACCTCTTCTGCTTAGCTATCAAGAACATCTGTTCCTACCTTGTAATCGAGCCCAGCATGATCACGGAAACCCATGCTTTCCACTTCGTAAGTGCCATTTGGTGTGTTCAAGTCACCTCTTGCTGATATTCCTCCCTAAAATCACATTCTCGACCCTTTAAAGAATTAGGAGGAAATTTAGAGGAAGATTAGCTGAGGTAACCACGCATGTGCTTTGCGCCAAATCGTACTTTTTTCGCGCAAAAACTATGCATGTGCAACGCGAGGGCCCTGCCTGCGTACCTTCGAAATGCTCAAGCCATATGCGCGTGAACGTGGCGCGAACTTTGACGAGACGATTTTTACAGAAGAGTGAGCACATTTATTGACACGGACCGTAAGCCCACCTCTGCAGTATACGGTAGTGGAGTGCACTTGCAGCGGGCAAACTCCTCATGAGTAAAGTCGTTGTATCTGGAAAGAAAAAATGGAAGGCATGGGAGAGAGGGGAGGGACGGGGGGAGGGGGAATTTAAAGGGTGTGCATTCTTACCTCATAAGCTTTGTCAGAGTGTCCATGTCGACAACTTTATGGTGATCTCTATCAAAGATTCTCGCTCGTGGTGTTGAACCCCATCTGTACCAATTGAATTCCCTAGCCTGTAAAATTCATAAAGAAAGTGCTCAACAGACGAAGAGAAGGGGCGGAGAGAGGGAGCGCATTTGCTAACCTTGTCGCTGAATCCAGCAATCAAATTGATATCTTTGATAAATGGTACATTATAAGATGGCCAGTATGAGTATTTCTTCAAGAACCATGTCACATCCTGCGTTCGTATGGATCCCCTGAAGCAAGGCCATTTCCTTCGTTGTCTTTCCTTGCGAGTAGGTTCTGGCAGGAGAAAACTTACGGAGCCTGCTCGAGAATCCAAACCATGTCCTTATCGGGGATATCCTGTCCTGGCTTGAATTGTTTGTAGTCCAGAACGGTCCACTGATTATTGTAGGTGCCAGAGTTAAAACGAGAGAACAGCTCGACCCATTTCTTTGGTGTGCTAAAAAGTTTGTAATTTGGTAGCATTCTCTCAATATTAAACGCTCCCTTCCCTCTCCCCCCTCCCTGCTCTCCTTTTCGCTATCATTACTCAGGCTGCTTCTAGCGTTGCTTGTGCCACTGCCATACCAGCGCCTTGATGGAACGTCATGGACCAATAAGGGAGTGTGCGCGTGGGTCCCGGCACGACGCTAGCAGGCACTGGAACAGCGCTGGCACAGCTCTAGCACAGGGCGGCACCGGATGCAGCCTCATCCTCAAATAAAATCACTATGTGTTTCTAGTGGTCTTTCTTACCTAGTCAAATAGTTTGCGATAGTTGATCGAAGCCAGCAATGCACTTGGCCTTCTGGTTTGATATATTCCTCATAGAGAGATTTGTTAAAAATTGCGATTGTGGTCTCGATGGAGCCCTAGAAACGCTTTTTTGTTGAGATGGAAAAAGTCTTGAGATTTGTATCAAATAAAAAACAAGGCAGTTTTGTCTCAAAAGTCAAGGAAAACGCCTTCTCCCCCTGTTTGAATGGCAATTCCTCGCAGCCATGAATTAATTTCTTCGATTTTTCGAGAATCAAAACTCCTAAAATTGAGCGAACGCACCAGACCAGCGCTAGTTAGCGTATAGTCGTCTGCTGATGCCAACTGTGCAGGGTATCCGGAGAAACTCACTGTGTGTCCAGGGACTTCCTTAGCATCTGTAATTATCATAAAATGTATAAGTAGGTATGGTAAAATATGATCATAGATAATTTAGTGTGCAAATGCTCGCATGTCAGTGGCGGAACGCCACCGCGCCGCATGCTATGCGAAAAAAATCTCTTGAGTTGTTTCTTAATTCTACATAACAGTGCGCAGACATATGACAAGAAATTACTGCAAAGCTGAGAAGGTAAATATAGCTTCTTCACATATCTGCACGTATGAAGGCGCTGCATTTGCGTGCACGCGCATAAACGCGTGCTCACAGAAATCGACAAGCGCTCGGTTTTGTCAAAGTTTCAAACTAATCGTTTTGGATTTTCGCGAATTAGCTGGAAAATCAAATTTACTTCTTCTGTAAGTCTTCCACAAATGCATTCTCAAATCATTTTTGTTTGATTTTAGGAATACATGTCAAATTTATTTTCTTACCAAAGGCAAATTTGTAGAGCTTCAGCACTCTCATCATCCAGCCCAGACTGGACATGGCCACATGAGCGAAGAACATGTCCTTAATAACACCTTTGTAGAGGTTTAGCCTAAGGTGAACATCTACCTTGTTGCCGGGAGCAAGTTTAATCAACCCAGAGCATTTTCCTGCTTCCGGATACTCTTGCGGATCGGGAGTTTTGTTCAAATATTTGTTCAAGTCAAAAAGCTCGCCGGATAATTGAATCATGCTGAAAATGAGGAAGAAATGGTAAAGCGAATGAAAAATCAAGAGCGAAAGAGGGGAGGAGGGGACTTACTAAATGGGCGACAGATCAAATCCAATTTGTGGTGTGAGATTCCTCTTCATGTATGAATCAAAGATACCGGTCATTTGGGCGAATGTGAGATTCACCTAAAATCAGAAATTTACAGGGCTTGAAACTATAATTTTATAGCATCCTTTCATCATTGCAGTGCCCATCACCTTCTCTCCCTTCCCCCTCCACTCTCCTGAGAATCTATACCCATTGGGTACATAGTAGTAAAAAAATTTACATGTCTCCAAAACAAATCATTCGGGGGTTGCGACAGAACTTGTAAACGTAGCCAGTCCAAATTCTTCGTAAGATATTTGTAAAGACGTTTGCAATAGACACTAGAAGCACGTTTTTAACCTTAACTTTTATGAAACGTGAGAAAAGGACTTACGTATGATTTTTACACAGATCTTTCACTGTATTTTTGTAGTGGTAATGAATTTGTAGCCGAGTTAGTTCCCCTGAAAAATTCTTAATTTCATTGTATCTTCCGGTAAGGGCTCAAAATCATATACTAATGCTATTCTCATTCACTATTGTGATACATTAATTTCAGACAATGAATAAAGTTACATAGACCACAATTAAATGCAATGGTTTTATAGCCAAGTTCATTCCGAAAAATTGATACACTCCAAGCTCGACTTATTCGAGTAAAAAACCTAGACACGAAGTAATGCGTCTTTGCCTAGAAATATCTGAACGAAAATTGAGATTTTCTAATTGAAAAATCTACAAAAGTAGCCCCTGTATTTAACAATAAAAGCAACTTCCTTGCTATCCATGTAATACTCATCGTTCTCATTCTGTATCAAGCAAACAATGAAGTTGGAGGTTTAGTGAAATTCCCACCTTCGGCGACACCAGCTGCATAAGCTTGTACATCGTATGGATGTCCAGCAAATGTTTCGATCTCCAAGATACCCCATCTAAATTTATAAAATACGGTATTGAACAAACCTATTGAACCATCTTTTCATATAAACTTTCACGGTAAATATTGTCATTCATAGTGTGGATACATTCACCAGCGTAGTTCTACAGTAAAGTTTTTGAATCACAACCAAATGGGAAATATGATTTCTATTATGAGATTTGAAATTCTTGATTTTGTGAAGATATACACTATGTGTTCTTCGTTAGAAACACTTACCCAGTGGTGTTCACCTGATTGGTGTACTTCCCCAGTGCTACCTGGGACGCCTTATCTTCACATTCCTTTGCATATACAGTGATTAAAGGATCGTCATGAGTACCATTCAGACACACTGACAAATAGGTGTAGTTGAATCGTGACGTTCCATGGGAATTCACTGGCTTGGATAATGGCGGAACCCGCTATATATATTGTTTTATCCTTAGTCGACACAAACTTATCATCCTTACATTGTCGTTGAGGTAGTTTTTGCTTTCTCGAATGTTGATACCCGTGCAAAGTACGGCGCATAGTGCGAGTATAAACGGCTTCATCCCCTGCAAGAGTATCTGGGATAAATCAAATGGAAAAATGCGATAATTAGGGACAGTAGTTGCAGACTAATGTAAAAAAAAGGACCATCAATACCGATAGCATGAGTTAACTTGTGGTTAAAAATCCTATGAAGTTCAGAGACAAGCGCACACGAAAGTTAAGAATTTTCAACAAGAATCTTTATAAGGTAGAAATAATTTTGAGATAGAACTTAGCAATTGTTGATTAACACAAACAGTATTACGAATCCCATTCCAGTAATCACCGTATGTCTCAGAGCCATACTCCTCTTTCAGCTTACTGAAAGGGGATGTTACACATGCATGCAATGACTTACGTTACGGGAATGGCAAATGACAAAAATATTCCATACGCCTTTAGATAAAGGTCCTATGATAAATAAGAAATCTCAAACTGAAACTTGCAAGTGACTACATTCTACTCTTTCTGATCGATCAGTCGTGCTTTTCTCGTTTCTGCAAATTTTACATCAACAGAAATATGGAAACATCAAGATTATTTGACAATTAGAAAAAATAATGGAGATGACAATGATACAATTCTTTTATTTTATTTCAAATAAGTATAAATTTTGTCAAAATCATGCTTAAGTCAGTCAGCTACACTAAACTCATCCCATGATCGCTCCTCAATGTGTCATCCGATACTTATTCAATGTTTATATTAACATCATGATAATCAAAAGGTGCTCTAGTACGTAAAACAATGATTAGAAACACAGAATGAGTTCTGTGCATCTGGTTAAAAGGGAAATCCTTGCTATTGGGAACAACATATGCTTCCGTCAAACCGCGTCAAAAGCATAAGACATCGCGATTTTTTTTCAAGCTTTTATCATAAGAGAGAAAGGAAATCTATGAGCACAGTGGCGAAATGATAAAGGAAATGTGGAAGAAGCTGTGATAAGGGCTAATGCTCAAAGATGGTGATAAGCTATCTTCCGTTAAATGTCCGCCTTGAGGTTGATTGATTCTTTCTCAAAGGCTAGCCAGAGAATCCTAGAACAAAGGTTGATTTTTTAAAGGGGAGCGAAATGTCACATCTGTCAAAATTAATTTTTAGCGTACATGCTTCTCTGTCGTTTCTTTTGTCTTCCATTTAGTCCATGAGTACGTGATGAGGATGGTATAAACATAAAATTTTGAATAAAGCAGAATTTTCTGGCACCCTTTTTAGACATAAAATTTTCTATAACAAGACTGAAGGAAAAAAAATTATGCAAGACTCTTTTGTCAAAACTGCCCCTTCTTCCCATGAAAAGGATCACATTTCAGTTTCCATCTTTATATAGAGAATTAAAATTTACGTAAACTCACTGTGGATGCACGGAGGATTTCGACGAAGAACTTCTAAATCTCACATGCCTACAGAGATAAAGGAATCATCTTTGATTCAAAGTAAACAAAGGACAAGTGATATAGAACCACAAAAGAAAAGTTGTAGCAATCAGAGTTCTTGCGAAACAACAAAATGTGATCGGCATCTCTCGGCAGATGACTAAATATCGATGATGACAAAGCAATGAAGTCGCATTTTGCTTTGAGAAAAAGAAGGCTAAAAAAATTTGCAATCAATTGCAACAGCCTTCCAGAAATCTAATTCTGACGAAAAGATTCGATCAAAAAGAAGAAAAAGTTAGAGAATAGTCCAGCTCTGAGATCAGAAACACGTGAACGACCTATATGCCAGTCCAGAGCAATCGATGCGACAAGTGATTATGTCATAAACTGTCAGTGAAATGTCTTTCACGAGCACATAGGTCGGATCAACGGGCATTAAGATCAACAACTCTTTGCTTGAACTTTAGAGTAAACTATGTTTTTGAATGCTTAACTTCTTGACATTGTGGCTTCAAGAATGACTTCTGTTGACGACAAAGCACGCCAACTTCATAACTGCCGCCCTCAAGGCGGGTTTGCAAAATTTCGAAACTATTTCTGTCTAAAATCACGCTAAAACACCGAGAAAAAAAACTTAGAAAAATCTTAGCCAGTTTCTTGGAGTTTCTCAGGAAAAAATACTTTTTTAATAATTCTGTATTCTTTTTATACTTGCTAGAATAATCTAAAATATCTCGAACTCTCGAATGATTTCGCTAAAGCTGCACCAATATCACTATTGCATTAGTCGCGAGCACCCACGCGATTAGGCTGCGCACGCGCGTCGCGAGCAGCGGAACTAGAAATGGGGCGCGGAAGCGGGCTTGTGGCTTGATTTTGAGACTTCCGCGCCAGTCAAACAGCTTGTTTCCCTGTTTAAAGGCACTGTCCACCCCAAGTTGAGGGTGTTGAGCTTTTGTCAGCATATAATAGTAGAGCCCTCTATCAATTCAATGCCCAAGTCGCGGCGCAAAATGCCGCTTCGGAAGCGAGAAAATCGCTTCGGAATAGCGAAGATGCACGAGGACCCCCATCCATGCCCGCCCATTTGTGCGCGCCCATCCAATTATCGTTCCGGAAAGCCGGCCTGTGAGTTCTCCGGAACCGGGATTGTTGGGGTTTTCGCGCACTTTCCACTTCACATTCGGAATCAGGGGCATGAGAAGGCCCTGGAACAACAAAAACGTGGAACTCGAAAATCTGGGTGGACGGTGCCTTCTAGACAGTGAGCTTCCGTGAGGGTCCGTTGGGTCTTTAAATATGCTTTTTGTTGCATGCATGCGTAGTTGAATTGATTTCGTACTGGATAACATAATGGTGCCCTGCTAACCTCTTCTTTTCATTTATGATTAAATTCAGATGCTGCACGAACTCCGGTTATGAGCATCAGCGGTTTGCACTGACATACAATCATCTGAAACAAAAAAATGAATGATACAATCATGCTAATGGGAATAAATTGCGCGAAAACATGAAAAAAGATTGCTGCGAGATGTTTGCGGTTATAATTCTGGTAGTAAGTAATCCTAATACAGGCCCCGTAAAATCCCACGCGTCGCTTTGAACACCAACGCGCGGCGCGGCTGGGAACGTTTGGTCCTGAAGCGCTACAGGCTTTTTGCGAGCGACAATGAGCGCGTACCCTTTCCACACATGTTTTTAGACTTTTGAAGGGAGCTTTCGTCAAGATTTACCTTGCATTGACGAGAACAACATTGAAAGTTAAAGAAAGATTTCTTGGAATATAGTGAACGCCGACAGTCGTCCGACCGCTCACTTACGCTGGTGTTCAAGGAAAGGCGCGGGCAATTAGATTTTACGAAGTTTATACTTTCGCGGGCCTATAACCCCGAAATTCCATAAAAGGGGCGTGGCTGACGAAGGACTCCACCTAAAATCAATTTTGAATTCAAAATATTTTAATTAATTACAATCGTAAACAAGTCACTTGCACATTTATAACTCACTAGCTGGCTTACCCGGCTCCGCCGTATGTTCCGAATAGAAAATTCCATTTCTTAACCGATCCGGACCAAACTTGGCACACATACATTTCGGGCCTCGGCGGGTGTCACAGTCCACTTTTCTTATCGATCGATGTCAATTATCGATTTTTTTGCAAAATTTGAGCTAGGGGGCTGGAATTTGGCAGGGGGTGTAATCGAGCATGCTGATCACCCCCACGGGGGTGATCAGCATGCACGGTTTCGAAAACTAATATTGTATTCGTAATCAGCATGCTCGATTACCCCCTGTGCCAAATCCCAGCCCCCTAGCTCAAATTTTGCAAAAAATCGATAAAATCGACATCAATCGATAACGAAAAGTGGACTGTGACACCCGCCGGGGCCCGAAGTGTGTGTGTACCAAGTTTGGTTCGTATCGGTTAAGAAATGGAATTTTCTATTCGGCACATACGGCGGAGCCGGGTATGCCAGCTAGTACATATATAAAACTGAGTGTTGGTAAAGTGTTATAGGTAGTGTTGGTAGTGTGTTCCTTATGGAAACTTTTGTGTGTGAACCAATCACCATCAAACTTTGCACACATATGTTTTTTCGACGTCGGTCCACCTCCCAGGTTACTCTTACAGCGAAATTCCCACTGCCTCTATTGATTGATCGATTTTGAAGAGAAATAACTCTTGCCATTTATTTCAAAGCGCTTCCCATTTCTATGTAAACAATAGCGATAGAACTCATTCTCATTCCACGATGAAGCAATACGGTCAGGAATATCTGCCCTGTGCTACAAGAATAAGAGAAGAAGGCCAAAACGGAGATAAGTTGAAGCCTTTGGGATTGCGCACCGATCCTTCTATTTGTTGAGCCAGTTACATCCGTGGTGCGGGCGAAGCCGAGGATGCCAGCTAGTATCTAATATATAAAGAAACATAAGCGCAATTCAAAAATCTGCAAATAGCGGGAACCACGTGGCGGTTCCAGCGCGGAGGATGCAAATCTAGTACCTCCAATTATTGGTTCACTAGTGTCATAAAAATGTCATAAAAACACTTTGGGAGGCTTGTGTCAAGATGCAATATGCAGTTTGTCTCATAATTTCAAACCTATTCTAATTCTATTTTGACACTAGAGATTTCATAGGATTCGCCGTGTCGATAATCCTTTCGAGGTTGTACACAATAACAAAAGTCATCACATGCAACTTGGTTGACATTATATCCTGATTACCATTCCCTATCAAATTCGAATCCAGAAACTTTACTAATTCACCCAAAATCTTTCACACAACCGAATAATTTTGAATGATCAGTGCCATAGAATTTGAGTAGCGAGACAGAGTTGTTTCTCTAGGCGTATTACCGAAAAATGCGCATTTCAAAACTGCTTCCTAATCTGTCCTTCATATCCTTTAAATCTGATCCAAGAAAAGTTATAACACAAAATCTTCTAGCGCTCGCGCTCCTCCTAATTATCTCCTACGGCTACAGGCGGCAGGCCTTTGGTCCCTCCTGCACCGCATCCAGTATACAAGGTGTCCCAAAAGTAGGTGCGCACTTTTTGATCGTTAATAACTTTCCTTCCACTGGGTCTTTTCCACAGCTTCAAGTATCATTCAGTAGCAGAGACTTCAACGTATACAGTATGGAACGAATAGCCTATCGCCCTTCATTATTGTAGGATTACGGTAGGAACTCCCAGCATACGGCGGCACTGTGGAATAGGCCATTTGAACAAAAAGTTCAAAATTTGGAAGTCTTGAGGCAATGCAAGCATGTTGACTTCATCAGACAACTATATATGAGTCTTTAAGAATTTCACATATGTAGTACAATCAACATTTTGAAAAACACTGAAAAGAACTTCGTTATGATTTACTTGGCATAACTCATGAAAAAACATTACGATAAAGTGCGAATTTTGTACTATAATTCAGCGACTCAGTTTACCTGATATAGAGTTTTCGGCTCATTGCGTATCTCCTGGGCAATACTAGGTTGTCCTATTTGCAGATTTTCTGATTAAAAATGTTATAATTCTCTTCAAAATCAACATTATTGCACAAATTAAGATTTGTTGGATTGAGCGAAGTTACATCTATCACAAGCACTATGCCATGTAAAGAAAGCAAGCGAAAGAGAAGAGAAAATTTGCAAACTTTTGTAAAGTGTCCTTAAAACATCCACTTTGACGTACTAATGCTTCCATATAAAAATACGCCGACATATCCGGCTGCCACCATTGAGTGGCCTATACTTCAAAGATTCTTTCATGGCTTAAGAGGATTCGATATATCTTTGCTGCACAGAAATTTTTGCGACCAAATAAAAAAAATCCATTATTTGAGCCCTCCTCCGCGTGCAAAAATATGCCGATTTTCCACTTCGAATTTTTCTTGCTGTCTCAAACGAAGAAAGCCAATGGGCCGATGGTTCCTGCTTGCTTTCGCTTTACTCACATATGCAATATTGAATGCTTCACCTGCCGCCATATGTAGATTGTCGTCGCTTGTTGAATAACTGAGTTTGTCTCCCTTTGAAAAAAATTGAAACAGTAAGACGTTCGCTTCGTTGGAGGTAAAGTGTGCGTATGCTAGCCCATTACACCCTGATCCATTATAAGATATTACATGTTTAATCATACTAATACTGCGGGAATTCTCTTTATAGAAATTTTTTCTTGAACATGACTACTATGAAGGAATTCGTTGATTTGATGGATTCAACTTACGAAGAATAAATTGTACATTGTGCAGTGGTTTGGGTTTCCTTCATACGCGCCGGAATCCGCCGCTAGCAGCCCGTAGCAGCCCGTAGCCGCCGCTGGCCGCTTTTGTTAGAGGAGTTAAAAATCATCAGAATCTTACTACTCTGTGCTCCTGCCTACGTTCATGTTCCACGCTTTTCTTTCTGTTGCCACCAGTGTGTAGTTCGATGCATATATTATACTTGTGTCCATTTCATTACCTTGTCGTTGTATAGTTCATCCTTTGAAATAGTTCGCAGGGGTTTCTTTCTGGCGCGATTCCCTCTGACTTTGGACGCGCCTTTCTGCAGGTGCAATTTGTTTGCCTTTTAAGTATGCTTTTGCTTCAATTTTCTTCTTCGCTATCGCTGCATATCCAGATTGCACTCTACTATTTCGCAAGTTCGTCGAAGTTCATTCGCGGGGTGAGTCTTCCTGACTTTGACAATCGCCCACAATTGTTCTAGACAAGACAGATTGCAAAAGTGAAATGTGGGCACCGATAGGATGCAATGTGCAGCAACAGAACGATGAACACAAATGTAATGTGTGAGATCGAGCTACACATTGGCGGCAACAGAAGAAAAAGAGTGGAAAATGAGAAGCGTAGGATAAGATGCTGGTGATTTGGCGCGCCTAAAAAAGCGGCCTGCGGCGGCTACGTGCTGCTACGGGCTGCTATAGGCTGCTGGCGACTGCTACGGGCTGCTAGCGGCGGCTGCCGGCGCGGTATGAAGGAATCCAAAGCACTGCACAACGTACAATTTATCTTCGTAAGTTAAATCCATCAAATCAAACAAATTCCTTCATAGTAGCTACAAAAGGGCTGAGGTTTTTGTCATGCAGTAGCAGAGGAGCAATGAGAATGGGAAGAAAAGCGTGAGAGGTTACAGAAGGGAAACCGGATGAGAAACAAATTATAACTAGGGTAAAGCGCGGGGTGTGGCACGCCATACCAGGGGGTCATCGGCTGGGGTAGGTAAGGGGGGGGGGGATCGTATTGACCTAGGGTCAAAAGCGGAAAGCTCACTGACCAGCTGATTTGAAGAAAGCACACCTCAAAGCTGTTAGTTAATCAACTCCGATAACTTAGATAGTTCGTGGATAGTTTCTAGATTAATTCTAATAACTGCTTCTTTATGATGCAATACATCCTGCAAAATCCAGACACATTCAATGACACCGACTTTTCAATACCGTACACCTACCGTATACCTAGCAAAGAAACCCCATCACGCTAAACAAGTATCATTATCATAATTAGCATGCCGGATAACCCCTATGCGCCAAGTTTCAGCGAACTCTGAGGTCTTCGAACAGTAAACAAGCTTGTATGGAACAGTAATTTCAAACATGATTAACTTAATTTTAACGGTGAGTAAGCCACCTTTTTTTGCACTCGATACAAAGCACTACACCTTCTTTCCTTGTATGAGAAATCCCACTACAAACTTTCAACCTGTGGATAGAAGACTGCCAAGTGCCACCCTCAAATTTCAATGGTTGCGCTTTGGCCAACCATTACTTATGTTAAAGAAGAACAATTAGGCTCAAACTTCTGCTATGTGTAGTACGAGGTCTCACCTCTCAAATCATGTAAAAAAGTCTGAAAAAAAAATCCCTTTGAAGGTAAGTTAATGGGGTGTGGCACCCCCCACCCCCTCAAAAGCTGTGGCTGCCACAGCTTTTGAAGGGGGTGCCACACCCC